CCACTCACCTCAGCCTCCAAAGGCGCGGGATTACAGGCTGAGCCACCGAGCCCGGCTTGTCTTTTTTTTTTTTGAGTCAGCGTCTCTGTTGTCTAGACTGGAGTACAGTGTCACACTCACATCCACTGCAGCCTCCACCTTCTGGGCTCAGGCAGTCTTTTAGCCTCAGCCTTCCAAGTAGCTGGAACCACAGATGTGCACCGCCATGTCCAGCTAATTTTTTTTTATTGTAGAGGCGGAGTCTCACCAAGTTGCCTAGGCTGGTCTCGAAACCCTGGACTCAGGCAATCCTTTTGCCTCTGCCTCCCAGAGTGTTGGGATTACAGGCGTGAGCCACCATGCCTGCTTATCTATTTATTTATTTGAGTTGGAGTCTCACTCTGTTGCCCAGATTGGAGTGCAGTGTCATGCTCATGGCCACTGCAGCCTCTGCTTGCTGGATTTAGGTGATACTTCTGCCTCAGCCTTCCAAGTAGCTGAAACTATGGGTGCATACTACCACACTCAGCTAATTTTTTGATTTATTGTAGAGATGATGTCTTGTCAAGTTGCCCAAGCTGGTCTCGAATCCCTGGGCTCAGGCAATCCTCTCAGCTCCACCTCCCAAAGTTCTGGGATTACAGGCATGACCTACCACACCCATCCTATTTATTGTTATTTATTTACAGCCAAAGTCTCACTTTGTTACCCAGGTTGGAGTGCAGTGGCATGTTTAGGGCTCACTGAAGCCTCAACTCCAGGATGAAGCCGCCCTCCTCATTCTTTCAAGCACTTGGGACTCCAGGCATGCACAACTATGCTAATTTTTTTTATTCTTTTTTTTTTTTTTAGAGATAAGGTCTCACTTTGTTGCCTGGGCTGGTATCGAATTCCTGAGTGCAAGTGATCCTCCTACCTCAGCCTCCCATTATGCTGGATTTACAGGCGTGAGCCACCATGCCTGACTGAAATTTGTCTTTTTTTTTTTTCTGAGTTGAAATCTCACTCTGTCGCCCAGGCTGTAGTGCACAGTGGCATGCTCACGACCACCGCAGCCTCGACCTGCGGGGCTCAGGCGATCCTTCCGCCTCAGCCTTCCAAGTAGCTGGAACTACAGGCACATGCTACCACACCTGGCTAATTTTTTGGTTTATTGTAGAGAGGAGGTCTCAACAAGTTGCCCAGGCTGGTCTTGAACTCGTGGGCTTAGGCAGTCCTCTCACCTTGGCCTCCCAGAGTGCTGGGATTATAGGCGTGAGCCCCTGCACCCGGCCAAAATTTGTCTTTAAAGTCACCTGCATTGCCATGGTGGTGTTTTCTTGGAAGCTTTTCTCTGTGGGCTTCCAGGTTAAAGGCTAGAATGATTCTGTAATCATCCTAGCTTTTCCAGTAAACTCTATGGCTCAGAACAGTGCTATATTTATCTATGAACTTTTCTTTTCCCCAGAAAGTAAGACTTGACCATAAATTTTTGAAAATATGGGTTAAGTATGTACTTTCATAACTATACTTTTCAAATGTACTTTATTATAATGTGTATAGTAATCAGCTTGATCTGTTTATGGTGTAAGTAGCTGTTATTTGGGAGGACAGTAATATGGCTTTTAGATCATACCACAAGGCTACATCAGGGCCTGGGCTAGGGCTCTGGGTTTTCGGGTCTCAGTCTACATTAAAAGTGACATTGTTTTGGCAGTGTGTTGAGAGCCAGATGCTGGGAGAGGGTAAAGCTGATTTCCATATGGCTATAATCTTGGCTTTGCACTAGGCAGATAAACATGAAATCTGCATCCATGTTAAAAGTCTTGAATTCTACAAAAGAATATCAAGTGTGTGAATGTAAGTCAACTGATCATTTCTCTTTAGGATGAATATCTCTAGCAGGAAGCTCTAATTAGAGCTTAATTAAGAGCAAATTAAGCCCAAATTAGAACTTCTTAAAGTAAGAAATTACTTTAAGATTACATAAGACCTTTACTTTTTGATGTTTTTCAATTTTTTTGCTTATGAAAAATAAGTATTCTGTAGGATAGGAAACCTATTTCTCCTGAAACCACCAAGTTGCTCTTAAAACCACTTTATAGCCGGGTTCGGTGGCTCAGCCTGTAATCCCGCGCCTTTGGGAGGCTGAGGTGAGTGGATTACCTGAGCCCGCGGGTTCGAGACTCACCTGGGCAGGCGAGACCTCATCTCTACAATAAATCAAAAAAATTAGCCTGGCGTGGTAGCATGAGCCTGTAGTTCCAGCTACTTGGAAGGCTGAGGCGGAAGTATCACTGGAGCCCAGCGGGTCGAGGCTGCAGTGGCCGGGAGAGGCTACTGCATACTCCAGTCTGGGCAACAGTGAGACTCCAACTCAAAAAAAAAAAAGAAAAAAAACCCACTTTATATGCTTTTCAATCTGTGTAGTTTGATGTCCTGGCTTACACTGGATGCTTGTCAGAGGCGAATCTCAGGCCCTAGCACCTCATCCCGAAATGCAACTGCTTCTGCTATGGTGCCAAAAAATACCTGGGTTGCGTTATGCTGTGAGTTGGTCGCAGCTGAAGAAAAGGGGGAGATCTTCACTGCCAACTCGACAGAAGCATCTGCTCCTATGAAGACCCAGAAATCTAAGCTTAGCTTTCTGGATTAGCATATCTCGTGGTGGACTTTTGAGGGACATGCTAACTCAGTTTCCTGACGAGCAAGTCCATGAAAGAGGCCTCCTCAACACCCTGTGTTCCCTAGGATGTTGCCTTTCTGGAAATGGCTGGTGTGTGGCAGGACATGAGCACATTGTTGACCCTTACATAACGGTGTTACATGAGATACCCTCCTGAGACTGTTAAGAGGTAAATTGTATGGTACAGAAGAGAGATTCTACAGAGGTAATTTTATTTTTATTTTGTTTTTTTTTGAGTTGAAGTCTCACTCTGTCGCCCAGGCTGGAGTGCGGGGGCTCTCCCATGGCCACCACAGCCTGGACCTGCTGGGCTTAGGTGATTCTTCCACCTCAGCCTTCCAAGTACCTGGCACCACAGGCACGCGCCACCACACCCGACTAATTTTTTGATTTATTGTAGAGATGAGGTCTTACCGAGTTGCCCAGGCTGGTCTCAAACTGTAGGCTCAGGCGATCCTCTTACCTCGGCCTCCCAAAGTGCTGGGATTATAGGCGTGAGCCACTGTGCCCGGCCTACAGAGGTAATTTTAAGGAGTAGTGGCAAGTCCCCAAGCTCTGCTAATTTTTTCCTTAAAATATCTTTAACACAGTTCTTTCTGTTAGCAGTTATAAACCTTATTTCACTTCACACCATAATTTTATCTTTTTTTTTTTTTTTAGTTGGAATCTCACTATGTTGCCTGGGCTGGTGGGCTGTGGCATAGTCATGGCTTATTGCAGCTTCGACCTCCTGGGTTCATGTGATCCTTCTGCCTCAGCCTCTCAAGCAGCTAGGACTATAGGCATGTGCCACCACACTCAGCTAATTTTTTTATTTTTTGTAGAGACAGAGTCTCAACTGTGTTGCCCACACTACTGGGCTCAAATAGTCCTCCCACCTCAACCTCCCAAAGTGCTGGGATTATAGGTGTGAGCCACCACACCTGGCCGTTATTCTTAATTAATCTCTCTCTTCAGTTTTTGTCCAACAGATGTATCTTTCTGAAATAATTTTATCACGTTTTGCTCCTGTTCAGAAACTGTCAAATCCAGCATTGTCTGTAAAATTCAAATCTGATAGTCCTCCGGAGAACAGGGTAGAATTTGGGCCAGGCCTTGCAGCCTTTGGAGTTTGACTTGAGAACCACCTATTTGTTCATCTGTTCACCCATTCGTTCAACGTTTGTTGGTTGTTCACACTGCTAGGTGCTGTCACATTGTAGAATAGCTAACTTTGCTTTCAGGAGCTCACAGTCTATTAGAGAAGACCTAAGCATAATTATAATATAATGAGATAAATGTTATGAAAGATATGTATTTTGGAGATAAGAGACATAAATTGGGGATTTGTGGAGGTCACACCAAGTTGTGGGTGAAATTACTTACCACTGTATGTCTAAGGCAGGGCTTCTCTTAGAGTAATTCTTGGTTGCGGGGCCCATGCTGTTCCTGTCATTTTAGGATAGTTCGCAGTATCCCTGACCTTTATCTGCTAGATGCCAGCAGAACCCTCCTCCCAAGTTGTGACAAGAGTATTTCAAAACATTGCCAGATGTTCCCTTGTGTAAAATTGCCCCTCTTTGAGAGTTATTGTGACCTATTCTGGGTCTCCATTCTGTCTGGTATGTATTGATGGGACTCAGCATTAATGTAGATTCCTAAATTAGCAAAATCATTTTATTAAAGAAGTTCTGATTCTCAATCTACTGTTTAGTAGTCTGCCTTATGTCTTGAACTCAGTTTGTTCAGAAAGAGATTTTTATGTAACTTAATTTTCAGATAGTTTGTTTGTATTTTAAGTTCAAGTTTCTAGGTTTTTCTTTTTTATATTTAGGGTCTCAGTGCAGGTGTCATCCTTTTAGAAGCAACCTTGTTCTTCCTTTCCTTCCGAAAAATCGGGCCGCGATGACAATGATGAGACAGAGCAACAGAGGTAGGGGCAGCAGAGGTTGCCAAGCACCTGGTACACACAGTACCACCTCACTCAAAGAACAAAGCAGGGTTGCATTCAGCTTGATCAGTGCCAGCTGTGCCTTCCTGGAACCAGGCATTCCCCATGGCCCTATTTAACGGCAGAACTAAGTGATTCAGTACATGCATTTAGATCAGAAATTACTTTTCCAGACTTGAGGCCACTACTTGGTAATTACGCATAGTCTGTGGCGTCTTGTGATTGGGGAAATGTTTCTTATTTTTAAAAAGATTGGAGTGAAGTTGCAATAGTTTTATCTAAGCAAGATTTTTCAAAAAAAGCTACAGACATCTGTTTTTTGTGTTTGAAAATAGACAAGGTATATTTTACCTGAAGTCAGTGGGGCTACTGATTTGAGCCATAGTTTCTTCTGAATTCGTATTCTGAAATATCTCCCATGAACGTTTGGAGAAAAGTTATCATGCCAGGAGATACAGCCACCAACTCTAGTTTAAAAAGTAACAGATCAAAACAATTGGGAGATACAGCGAACACAGATCGTTTGTAGAATGTAGGAACAATGTATCTGGCCTTTGGTCTCGAGGCTGCGGGCTCAACACACAGGAGCTGCTGTTCCCTCTTTCCTGGAGCGCTTGGTGCCAGCTTTGCCTGTCCCTTTTCACTCTAGATCCTCCAGATGATGCTGTTGATAGTGAATCGCTTCAGTCATTGTTCTCGGAATGGGATAATCCAGTGTTTACCCGTTATCCACAGGTGGGTGTGCAGCCATTTTTTTCCCCTTGTTATTTTGAAATTTAAATTTGAAGCCAGGCACAGTGGCCCCAGCTACTCAGGAGGCCGAAGTAGGAGGATCGCTGGAGGCCAGGAGTTCAAGGTTACAGTGAGCTATGATCACACCACTGTACTCCAGCCTGGGTGACAGAGCAAGACTTCGTCTCTTAAAAAATAAGCAAATAAATGCAAATAAAACTTGTGTTTCATTTCAGCTGGATATGGGCATGAATGGGCATACTAATTTGTAATTACAGATGGACACTCGGCATGTTTCCAAAAAAGAATCAAGCTCATAGCATTTTGGGAGTTCAGGCATATTGGATTAAACATGAATAATCAGTACATAAATTATGAATGTTTTTACCACTGCTAGAATCCCTGATTAGCAGCTTTGGCAAAGTATTATCATTAGGTAAAGTAGTTAGATCAAGTTCCTCTTCTTTTCCTGCCTCAGGTTTATTTGTACAAATAGCACAGGAAGACACCAGCGTCATGTAGACAGCACCCTGGGGGTCAAACCAGTCCTTCTGTCCTTACGTTGGCAGACAGAGGCCTCTACTTAGAAACCTTTGTGGGAGTCTGGGCACCTTTGGGAGCCTGAGCAGGAACTGTAACTGAAGCTGGAGCTGCAGGTGAAGCTGTGACCTGGGCCTCAGTTTGATCCTTGGCCTTTGGCCAGCAGAGCCTGCAGCCCTTAGCAATATGGACATGAACACACTTCCCAAACTTGGGATGGGCAATGTAGGCAAGTCGATTAAGTTTGCAGCTAGGACCCTTTGGGATCTTGAGCTTGACCTCCTTGGGCTTTACGAAGGAGTCTTGATAGTCTCAGCACATGCACTCATGGCCTTGGCGTTGTTGGCTTGCATCTTCTTCAGGCCCTTCTTCTTGTGCTTCTTGGCAAAGTGCATGTTCCTCAGGAACTTGGGGTCCACCCCCTTAAGAGACTCGTATCTTTGTGATTGGGGTTTATTGATGCCATTTCTATGCCATTTTAGGGATTGTTTGTGTGTGGCATGGTTCTTGGACTTGGCCATGTCTGCACTGTAACCCATGGCTCCTGCAGCACCTGGGACCAGAAGAGAATCAAGTTCCTCTTTTGCCGGAGGAACAGGTTGTCACTGGGCCTGGTGTGTGTCTCTCCTCAGTGTATCATCACAGCGTGTGCTGTGCGTGCTGTCATGGGGGTGTCTAGTAGCTGAGCACGTGATCCTACTCTGTTAAGATGTCATGTAAGGGTTTGGGTATGGAGCTTAGACATGTTGTTGTTCTGAAACAATACTGGTTTTTGTCAATAATTTTGTTTATAAACAAAAATTGTTGTTTAAAACTCCTTATTCATAGATCTTTTTGAATTTCTATAAATTCTCTGAGTTCAGTCCACCTCTAGTAGGTCATATGAAAGGAATGCTTTTAAAGCACTCTGAAATCTTTGGTAAGGCAGTTTTGTAGACATAAAAAATTAGAATGTAATTGATGTTTTTGCTGGGTCTTTCTAGGTTGCTGTTGATGTAAGCAGTAGCCAGGCTGAGAGCTTAGCAGTTAAAGTTCACAACATCTTATATCCCTATCGCTTCACCAAAGAAATGATTCATTCAATGCAGGTAAATTATTGACTCTGAAATCTCATAAAAATATATATAAGGCCTAAACTAGACTAACTCTTCTGAAGTTGAATTTATTTAATGATCTAGATTACCTTGATCAAGGCTTATTGCATGTGTGTGTGTGTGTGTGTGTGTGTGTGTGTGTGTGTGTGTGTATTTAATCCTACTAGAGCTTTTATCAGAAAAAGCAAGGGATTAATTCTAAATAAAGAAATGTCCTTAGTAACGTGAGCAGATTTGGAGGAATGAATTGTGAATTCAGTCTCACAGTTTTAAGGATTATTAAGGTATTTCTGCAGAGGACTATGTATTGACTTGATATTTGGCAATTAATAAAGTTCTGTAGTGACATGTCTTTAATGTGCAACATTGCCCTTTTAAAAATGACCCTCTGGGTGGGAGGCTCCAGAGGCACAGGAAAGCCCAAATTGAGTTTCATTCACAAAAGGTTGCCTTGTCTCTGCTTTTCTGCTTTGCCCTCTGTTTACCACATTGGTTGTCTTAGTTTCCTTGTTTTCAGTATGGAAGCAAATTAGGAGGTTAGACAAGGCTAGGTGAACTCCCAACCTGGTATTGACCTGGTACCAGAGCAAGCTGGCAGCTGATCCAGAAATAGACCTTAGGGCGGTGATGTGGACTGTGGGGTGTGGGGAAGCCTTGTAGACCAGGGCAGAGAGGAGCCACCAAGGGCTAAAGCCACCAGTGCTTCAGACTTTACTGCTTTAATGGACTAGCCCCTCCTTCTTGCTTTTTGCAGAAATTTTAAAAATGTACTGTACCCCTTTTGTTAGCAGTCTTTGCTCATATCACCTGTGATTAAGAGTCACTTTGTTGGGAACATAGTTGGCACACTGTTTTCCGTCCTGGAGCCTGCCTTCCCTGTCGCTCCTGGTCTTGTGATCGCTCCACAGCAGGTTTTTTCATCTTCTTGATGCCTCCCTCAGCTTCTCAGCACCTTGCAGTCTTTAGACAGGAGTGTTACAATTCAGACAGCTCTAAATAAAGTACAACTCTGTATCTTTCTGTGCAGATGAACCCTTGTTAATTTTTACTTAGTGTTTGTACCACTTATTTGAATGGATGGCAGGTTCTCCAGCAAGTGGATAACAAGTTCATTGCCTGTTTGATGAGCACCAAGGCTGACGAGAATGGCGAGGCAGGTAAGAGTAGAGTTTAGTTTCAATTACTCACCAGCTGGTACTCTGGTAGCCTTCTCTTAAGGTTGTTTTTGCTGTATAATACAATTCCAATGATTTGTACAGATTAGGGAAAACCAATGGAAATTAAGAATATTATGAAACAACAGTTTTAAAGTACACTTGGTTTTTTATATATATACATACATATGCATAAGATACACATTAGACTTTTTTTTTTTTTTGAGTCGGAGTCTCACTCTGTCGCCCAGACTGGAGTGCAGTGGCCGCTCCCGGCCACCGCAGCCTCGACCACTGGGCTCCGGCGATCCTTCCGCCTCAGCCTTCCGAGTAGCCGGAATTACAGGCGTGCGCTACCACGCCCGGCTGATTTTTTTGATTTATTGTAGAGATGAGGTCTCGCTGCCCAGGCGGGTCTCGAACCCGCGGGCTCAGGCAGTCCACTCACCTCAGCCTCCCAAAGGCACAGGATTACAGGCTGAGCCACCGAGCCCGGCCACATTAGACTATTAACAGTAGTTACCCAGGGAGTGAAATGAGGATGGGCAAAGGGAGAATTTAATCCTTTACTCTTAAATATTTCAAATTGTTTGACTTTTTCATGTTTTCATGTTTTCCCTTTATAATAATAGATAGTTGAATAATGAACCCTGCTAGGTTTATCAAGAGTTACACAGAATCTCTTAGTGACCTACTTTAATGAAACAGTAGTAGTTTATAAATAACATTAACTCATTCAGCAAATAGTGATTGTGTGCCACTTGTATGCCAGGGACTGTACCAGGCCTTAGGCATACAGTGATAGGAAAAGATACACATGCAGGAGAAACAGATAATTACACAAACATATAAAAGTTAATTCCAGCTCATATTATGAAAGAGAAATGCAGGGCACTGTAAGAACCTGTATTGGGAGGTTTGATTTTGTCTGGGAATTCAGGAAAGTGTTTCTTGGCAAAATGAAGCCTGTAGTATGAACACTAGACAACTAGGCAGAGGAGGGAGAGTCAGTCACTCTCCTCAGTGAGCAGAAGCAGGGGAAGGACAGCGGGAGAGGAAACTGGGCAAGGAGGCAGGAGCCAGATCTTACCTGCCAGTTACAAGCCTTGCTTTGTCCCAGTGCCAGTTGGAAACCACTGAAAAGCTGTTTTCGTTTTTTATTGTTTGTTTTCTGATATTGTTTTTGAGGTGGTATAAAGACTCGGGGATGTTGGGGGAACCTGGACAGGGAGTATTTTGCATTTTGTAGCATTTGCATTTTGACGGGCTTGCTCTGGCTGCAATGTGGAGGATGGATATGGATTAGGAGTGTGGTGTTCCTGTAACTGCAGAGAAACTGTCAGGAGGATATTGCAATATCTAAGAAATGATGGTTAGCCGGGACCAGAGTGAGCTTGAGAGAAAAGGGAATGTACCAAAAAGATGTTTAGGAGGTGAAGTCAACAGGGCTTGGTGATGGGTTGTACGTGGAGAAGGTATATCAGAGATGGCATCTAGTTTTCAGGTCTCCGCATCTGAGTGGGTGGTGTTGCCAGAGCAGGGTGCAGGGTGTAGAGCAGCGTGCAGAGCGGGGGGCGGGGGGGTGGAGGGGGTGAAAAGTGTGAGTTCAGTCTGAGCTCTCCTTGAAATGTTCAAGAAGAGATGTCAAGCATGCGGCTATATTACAGGTCGGGACCAGAGAAGTGCTCTAACATGGAAATAGCCAAGAGGAACCCAAGAAAACCCAGAATTATCTTTTGGAGGGCGGGTCCCTTGTGGTACAGACTTCCCCTGCTAGGTACATGTTCTAGGAACACATTGGCCTCAGTGTACCAGCTGGTGTTGTTGAGAGAGGCTGCGTTTGGCTTCAGTTAATTTTTTTTTTTTTTTAGGTTTTTTTCATCATGTTTGCCCACTTCATGGTGGGTGATTTGCAAGTGCACCTGCCCACACCACACTGAGTGTTCAAAAATTTTTGACCAAAAACTGCATGACTGCTATGACCCACCTTCCCCATTCACTCAATCTCACCCCAAGTGACTTTTTGTTTGTTTGTTTCCCTGGATGAAAAAAGTCCTCAAAGGGAAACGTTTTGCCAGTGTGGAAGAGGTGAAACAAAAAACGACAGAAGCATTAAAAGGCATCAAAACTGCCAAGTTCAAAAACTCTTTTGAGTAATAGAAAAAGCATCTCGATAGGTGTATTACATCAGACAGAGAATACTTTGAAGGTAACTGAAGTTTAAACATGTAAGAATAAATACACAATTTTTTATAAATAAATTTCAGGGTTTTTTGGGTCCCCCTCATAAATTTGAGTCATCAGCATAAAGTTGGTCACTGAAATCCTGGGTGTAAATTAGAGAGAGTGAAGTGTGAAGAGAGGTCCTGACTCTAGCTCTACAATGAGTCCAGTATTTAATAGCTGGGTAGAAAAGAGTGAACCAGCAAAAGAGATTGTAAAGGAACAGCTAGAGAAATAGGAAGAAAACAGAATAATGTGCTGCAAAGCCTAGACTTTGTGCCAAACCCTCCTGAGACATTAAGTGAGATGAGGACTGTTCGATGTTGTAACAGTGGAGATCAGGAACTTTAACAATGAGAACTGTTTCAGAGAAGAGAGGGGATATATAAAATATGTGTGTGTATGTGTGTGTGTGTGTGTGTGTGTGTGTGTGTGTGTGTGTGTGTGTGTGTGTCCACATATATATGTGTGTGCACCACACATATTTTATATATGTATACTTTTTTTTGAATCAAGATATCACTGTGATGTCCAGGCTAGAGTGCAGTGTCATGATCATGGCTCACCACAGCCTCTACCTCGTAGGCTCAGGTGAACCTCCTGCCTTAACCTCCCGCGTAGCTGGGACTGTAGACATGCACTACCATGCCCAGCTAATTTTTTTTATTTTTTGTAGAGATGAGTTTTTGCTATGTTGCCCAGCCTGGTCTCAAACTCCTGGGCTCAAGCAGTCCTCCCATCTTCACTTGCCAAAGTGCAGGTATGACAGGTGTGAGCCTCCATGCCTGCCAGGACAAGATGTTGATGATAATAATAGAGACTGCAAGGAGAGAGAGAAATCTGCCTGTGACATGGAAGAAAGGGACTGGAGGAGGGCAAGGGTGAGAGAAGACTTTTTTGAAAATGGGAGAACCAAGCCGGGCTCGGTGACTCAGCCTGTAATCCCGTGCCTTGGGAGGCTGAGGTGAGTGAATTGCCTGAGCCCGTGGGTTCGAGACCTGCCTGGGCAACTTGGTGAGACCTCATCTCTACAATAAATAATAATTAAAAAAAAAACTAGCTGGGTGTGGTAGCACGCACCTGTAGTTCCAGCTACTTGGAAGGCTGAGGCGGAAGGATCGCCGGAGCCCAGCAGGTCGAGGCTGTGGTGGCCGGGAGCGGCCACTGCACTCCAGTCTGGGCGACAGAGTGAGACTCCAACTCAAAAAAAAAGAAAAGAAAAGTAAAGAAAATGGGAGAACCTTGAGCACATGCTAGGAGAGAGTGAGTAGCTGAGCGCCCTGAGCACCAGTGAGGGCTGGTCCAGATGCAGAGCTACAGGCAGGTGCTTCTAAAGCTTGAAAGCAGTTTGTTTTCTTTGTATTTCAGAATATTCCCTTTAACTTGTTGAGTCAATTTCATAGTAAATCAAAGGCAAGTTAACCTAGAGTCAGAATTATCATGAATATGGAATTAGTGAGGGTCTAACCTATAGTTTTACTCTTTCTAGACAATTAACAGACCTTTTTTTCTAAAGTTTTGATTATCTGGAATTCCTTAATTGTTTTTGCAAAATACTAATAGCACTCAAGATGGGTGTAGTAACAAAATCTGCACTTTCAAAGACGCAAAAGGGACCTATTGACCTTTCTCTTGAGATTTAAATTATCATTAGATTAGATACCACCAAAAAGTACTTGTAGATCAATACATTTTTCTAAATCAAAATGCAAGTGTTTTTACTGTCACTCATAAATACTAAATGCGACCTATTCCTATAATTGAATTACCTTAATTTAGGTATCTGCATATTTTTAATGGGCACATATATTATTATTTTAAAATATTATAAAATTAATGGCATACTGGCATTATTGTGTTGCATGTTTCTTCTCATAATAAATCATAATTGTTCAGTAAACTGAAGAATAAAGGCTCTTTCATTTATTCTGCAAGTATTTATTGAGTGCCTATTATATGCCAACTGCTATTACACATGCTGAGAATATAACTGATAAAAATCCCTGTCCTCACATAGCTTGTATTCTGTTATGTTAGAGTATAAAAAATACAGCTTCTGACATGAATAAATTACTGTCAAATACCCTGCTTCATTCAAGGAATAGAGAATGTCGTAAACGCTATATGGACAATGAAAAAAGACGCCATTCTTCCAGTCAGGTGTAGGCTTGGTTCGTGGGGTCCCTGACTCTTGGTGATTCATGTCAGGTCTAGTTTCAAGTTTGAGGTTACTCCCTCTCTGCTTACGATTCATTTCATTATTTGCCCAACACAGGATGTTCAGTGTTCATCACAACCAGCTGCAACTGCCCCTAGCCTCAAAGGACATTAAAATTCAACTGCCGGGGGCTGTTCCTGTGGTTCAACATGCTATCACATAATTAATTTCCTTCTTTTTGTTTAAGTCCTTTTGTTTTGTTTTGTTTTGTTTTGTTTGAGTTGGAATCTCACTCTGTCACCCAGACTGGAGTGCAGTGGCCGCTCCCAGCCACCGCAGCCTCGACCTGCTGGACTCCTGCAATCCTTCCGCTTCACCCTTCCAAGTAGCTGGAACTACAGGCGTGCGCTACCACACCCGGCTAATTTTTTAAGTATTGTAGAGATGAGGTCTCGCCAAGTTGCCCAGGTGGGTCTCGAACCCGCGGGCTCAGGTATTCCACTCACCTCAGCCTCCCAAAGACGCGGGATTGCAGGCTGAGCCACTGAGCCCGGCCAAGTCTTAAGCTCTTGTGTCTTGAATTTGAGCGTGTCATAGAAACAATTTTTATTCTTTTAATAGAAATCAGAAAAACAGGAATTACCTATTTTAATTAATTTCAAGAGGAAAACTTTTATTTTAGTGTGATCAATAGCACCAAACCTCAATCCTCTGACCAAAAGTAATACAACACAAGCTAAAAAAGGGATACTAACATCGAGACTCAGTCCTCCTATGCAGGAGAAAGGAATTTCCCTGTAGGTTTGGCTTTTGAGTCAAGACATTCTGCCTCCATGCTTGTACTTAAGAGTCCAGCATCTTGCTGCTCAAGAGTGTGGCCTGTAAACAGCATCGCCTGGAAGTTTGTTAGAATTCCAGAAGCTTGTATCTCACCCCTAAACTCCTGTATGACAATCTGTGTGTTAATAAGATCCCCAGGCGAGATGTGTGCCAGGAAAGTTTTTACATGGTGGAAAAAAACAGCAAATAAGTACATATATTTCACACATTAAAAAAATTTTTTTTTTTTTAATTGGGGTCTCACTCTGTCGCCCAGACTGGAATGCAGTGGCCGCTCCCGGCCACCGCAGCCTCAACCTGCTGGGCTCC